GGTCTAAGGAGTCTCTGTGATTCCCCCCCCCCCCCAGGTTTATTGCAATTGGAAAGTCCCTCTTTACTGAGTGTAAAGCCCGTTTTAGGAAAGCAGGAGGTGAAGAGCACATTGCTGCTCGCAGTGACTGGAGTCACTCCCTTAGCTCAAACAATACAGGCTTAGATTTTCATCTCTGAAGATCAGAGGTTTCAAACCCAGCTGAGGGCCCAGCCATGAAGAGGGGGCTGGGATCAGTCTAAATAAATGATAAATCGTGGGAAGATTCCTGGTAGCAGCGAGGAATAGGAGTTTCTCTGCATTGTGCACACCGTGATGCTACCCTCCCAGGAAGATGAGCTTATTGTTCTATTCTCTTTGGTGGGCGCTCAACTTTGGGTATCTTATTCAGGCCGTCCTGATCCCACGGACAATATAGCAGAGCTGTTCTGTACCTCTCCTGACATAGTAAGTGTTCAGAGGCCGGAATCACTGCCTTTCCTCCCACCACCTCCTGGATAATGTGCATGGGTGTTCAGAGTGAAATGAGCGATTTGATTTCACTGACAGTCACCAGCCCATGTCACGGACAGGCCAGGCTGGGCTGCAGCCAGGTCAGCTTCACGAGAGGGCAGCCTGCATGTACAGCAGTCTTTTCAATAAGCCTTGGGACACTGGGGACGTTTCTGAAGAAAGCAAAAGTTGTGCCAATGTTTAAAAAGAGTAAACAGGATGCCCCGGATAATTATAGGCCTGTCAGCCCGACATTGATCCGTGCAAGATAATGGAGCAGCTGATATGGGACTCAATTCCCATAAAGAATTAAAGGAAGGAATGCCAATCAACATGGGTTTGGGGAAAATAGATCCTGTCCAACTGGATATCTTTTTTTTGAAGAGATTACAAGTATGATTGATAAAGACATAGTGGTGATGTAATGTACTTAGAGTTCTGTAAGGCATTTGACTTGGTACCCAGGACATTTTGAAAAAACGGGAACGATCTGAAATTAACATGGCATAGATTAAATAGACTAAAAACTGCGAAGTGTAATTATAAACAAGGAAATATCGAGAACGGGTGTGTTGCTAGTGGAGTCCTCCAGGGATTGGTGCTTGGCTACTTAACATTTTTATCAGTGACCTGGAAGAAAACAAAAAATCATCACTGATAAAGTTTGCAGTGGTAAATAACGAAGAGGACAGGCCACTGATGAAGAGCGATTTGGATCGCTTGCTAAGCTGGGCTCAGGCAAACAATAGGTGTTTTAATACGGGTAAATGTCAATGTCCACATCTAGGAACAAAGGGTGTTGGCCATACTTACGGGGTTGGGGACTTTATCCTGGGAAGCAGTGACTCCGAAAAAGAGTTGGAAGTCATAGTGAATAATCTGCTGAATGTGTGGTGCTGTGGCCAAAAGAGCGAATGCGATCCTTGAAGGTATAAACGGGAATCTCGAGAAGGAGCAGAGAGGTTATGTTACCGCTCTATTGGGCGCTGGTGCAACGGCTGCTGGAACACTCTGTCCAGTTCTGGTGCTCATAATTCAAGAAGGACATTGTTAAATTGGAGAGGGTTCAGAGAAGAGCCACAAGAATGATTACAGGAGTTAGCTTAACAAAGAGAAGGTGAAGGGGTGACTTGATGACCGTCTGTAAGTACCTACGTAGGGAACAAATATATGATAATAGGCTCTTCAGTCTAGCAGAGAAAGGTCTAACAGGCTCCAACTGTTGGAAGTTGAAGCCAGACAAATTTAGACTGGAAATAAGGTGTACATTTTTAACAGTGAAAGTAACTAGTCTTTGGAACAACTTACCAAGAGTCGTGGTGGATTCTCCATCGCTGGCCATTTTTAAAACCAGATCGGCTGTTTTTCTAAAAGCTCGGCTCTGGGAATTATTTTGGGAAGGTTCTGTGGCCTGTGCTTGGCAGGAAGTCAGACTAGATGATCACAATGGTCCCGTCTGGCCTTGGACTCTATGAATCTCTCTCTGGTTCTCTCTGCAGGTTTTCTGGGGATGCAATAGCTGTCTCCTTTCCACTGGCATCTTCACTTTAACCCTGCTGAGTGGGGTGATGGGGCCGCCATTTAGCACACATTTGAGTGTTGGTTCGCTGCCATCTTATCTGCACTTGGAAAGACAAAAGCGCAGTTAAAACATTTTAGAGCAGCCTTCATAGTGTATTTAAATGTTATCTAACGCATTAAACCTAGAAGCTTATCAGATCATCAAGGCCATTAAGCCCTGAAGCTGCCTCGACTTAGGGTTCCCGGAAGTGAAGTGGCTCCTACAGCCTTCCTTGTGATGGAATGCCGGCGCGTGACGGAAGAGGCTTTTCACTCCATGCTCTGCCATGGATGCAGAGACATGAGCACCTGGGCATAGCCTCTTTCATGGTGAGAGGCATCGACTTAGTGCAAATCAATGTGCTCTGTGGAGTTAGATTTGAAGGATGCTGTCGAAAAACAGGCCGATAGGAGAGACCGAGTCCCACCAAGAACCATGATCCTGTAGGGCACGCTTTCCTGACCCTAGCAGGAGATCCCTGCTCAGAGGTCCAGAGGAAGGCGTAAAGCAAAGCAAACCCACGCTCTCTGGTAATGTGCCCCAGGTGGAAATGATTTCATAGAGTCAGAAAAAATGTCAGGCTGGAAGGGGCCTAAAGAGGTCATCAAGTCCAGCCCCCTGCGTTGAGGCAGGATCAAGTAAACTTAGACCATCCCTGGCAGGTGTCTGTCCAACCAGTTCTTAAAAACCTCCAATGATGGGGATTCCCCAGCCTCCCTTGGAAGCCTGTTCCACAGCTTAACTCCCCTTAGAGTTAGAAAGGTTTTCCTGATATGTAACCTAAATCTCCCTTACTGCAAATTAAGCCCATTACTTCTTGCCCTGCCTTCCGTGAACCCGGGGAACAACTGGTCCCTGTCCACTGCATAACAGCCCTTACGGTATTTGGAGACTGTTCTCAGGTCCCCACTCCGTCTTCTTTTCCCGAGACTAAACTTGCCCAGTTTTTTAAACCTTTCTTCAGAGGTGCTCAGGGTTTCCAAATCTTTTATTATTTTTGTTGCTCTCCTCTGGACTCTCCAATTTGTCCACATCTTTGCTCAAGTCAGGCACCCAGAACTGGACACAGGACTCCAGCTGAGGCCTCCCCAGTGCCGAGTAGAGTAGGACCATCACCTCCCGTGACTTACATACAACATGCCTGGTAATACACCCCAGAATGATAGTAGCCTTTTTTCACAACGGCATCACCTTGTTGACTGGTATTCAATTTGTAATTCACTGTAACCCCCAGATCCTTTCCAGCAGTATTCCTGCCTGGCCAGTTAGCCCCCATTTTGTTGGTGTGCGTTTGATTTTTTCCTTCCTAAGTGAAGTACTTTGCACTTTTCTGTAGTACGTTTCATCCGGTTGATTTTGGACCAATTTTCTTATTTGTCCAGGTCATTTTGAACTCTAATCCTGTCCTCCAAAGTGCTAGCAACCCCTCCCACCTTGGTGTCAGCTGCAGATTTTATAAGTTGTATTCTCCACTCTGTTATCGAAGTCATGAATGAAAATACTGAATAGTACCAGATCCAGGACTGACCCCTGCAGGACCCCAACCCCAAATATGTACTGATCAGTCTGATCCGCTGCATGTAAGCATGAGTCCCTGCATTTACACACATAATCCCTCCCTAGAACCTGGGCTGCCTCCTGAATTTAAAGCAGTTCCCTGCTGTCGCCCTGAGTGGAAAGATGTTTCTGGTTCTCTTCTTCCTGCCCATCACTGGCTGGAGCAGCCGTGGAAGCACTCGGGAAGAGGCCTGGATACATAGCACTGTTTGCCTTGGGCTGGTACTAGACCGAGAATTATTACAGCTCTGCCATTATTGTGCTAGCAAAGACGGGGGCACTGCCGTAGACTGGCCTCAGGTGTCCTTACCGCCGGGTGACGTCATCCTGCTCACGTCTGCACACCACAGTGGTTAAAAATGCCAATCGCCCGTCTGCACTAGGGGCCACCCTGGCTAGCGCCAACTGGATCAAAAGTCGCACTGTCGACCAGGCCTTTCTGACCTGACCTTGCCTGATGCTTTGTGGCCTGGCAGCAGCACCGGGCTGAGCTGTGCACACCTGGTGCGGCTGCTGACGAGACAACGAAACTACTTAAAGAGTCTTGACTTCTGCATCGACGCACCTTCCACTGTTGCCCACCACTACACCCCCAGCTCCTATCCTCCAGTGCTGCCACTTATCTGCGTCCACCCCTGCTCATCTCGTCGTGCCTTCCTGTGTGCGTTCAGCCTTCGCTTGAATCCCTTGATTTCAGCTCCACCCTCCCCATGTGTGTGCGATCTCTCCCTCTTCCAAAGTCATCCTGGTCCCTGTGACCAACCCAGTCCCCTCCGCTCCAGCTGCTGAATTGCAAAGGGCAGTTTGCCTTGGACCCAGAGGATATTTCTGTCCCCGTCTGCCCCCAGCTGTGCAGAAAGCAAGCACTGTTGGGTTTTGTGCATTTCTATTTGTAGCAGCTGCGTATCCACGTGACACTCGTTGCCTCCCTCAGCCACACCTAGTTAGTCCCTAGACCTTTCCCGAGGGAATTGATATGTCGCTCAGATTGAAAGAGTACGCAGTGCCTGGTAAACAGGAAGTGCGGCTGGGTCCGTGCAGCAAAGCACCCAGAAGTTGATCCTTTTCTGAACCAGCAGAGAATCTCTTGACTCCACCAAACTGACCTGGAAATCTCCTGCAAACAGGCTCTGACGCTCACCTGCTTCCTGATGGGCTGCAGATCCCATGAGAAGTCGGTTACTTGGTGTATTTAAATCGGCGAGCAAAGGTCTGACTTTGTTCCTGTTTAACTGGGACCATTTGTAGTCTGGAAGGCGTGCAGCGCTCTTAGGTTGGGCTTGGCTTTGACGGGTTACTGCCATGCCCTTTGAATGCTGCCGGCTGTCGTGGGGCAGCAGGGTGAATCCAGGCCCCTCGTTCACCCTCCTCTTGTCCTCTCTCTCCCTAGATGAGCTGGAGCTGGTCGTGCTGGAGGGGGAGAGCAGAGTGCGTGCTAGGCGGAGCCTGCCAGAGGGATTGTCCTGGGGGCCGTACACAGGGAATATCCACAGCGAGCCGGCTTCTCTGGGGCAGAGCGAGACGGTAAGAACCACTCAGTGCTCCCATTGTTTGGGTCCCATGCAGCCAGTTTGGGCAAGGTCTTCCAGGGCCTCTGTCCCTACCAAGAAGGACTAGCTCTGTCCCCTCCATGGAAGAACCACCCCTCGCGGCCCTACAGCAGCACTCCAGGGGTTTCCTTTTCCCCCCTTCCCCAAACAAAAAATCCCATGAAACATTGTCTTACCCATGAACAGTCTCTGCATGGCTGTCGTCAATCTCACATGCTGTAATTCCGGGTTTCAGCCAATGGGAACTTTCAATCATTGTTTTAATTTTTTTTTTTTAATCAAACACTTTTCCCCACCAAGAAATCTAGGAAAAGCCAGCTCTGCCCAGGAGCTCCTGGCAGCTCCCCATTCTGCATGCAGTCCGCTAGACCCTCTCTAGGGAGAGGCCATTGTAACTGTCAATACGCCGTCAGCTAAGGGGTGCCAGCAAATTCTCTCCTGTTTGCTTATTTAAAATGGTGGTGGAAATGGGATGTAATTGGGATGTAAATCTCTTCCAAAGAGGAGGGGTCGGAAGGGAAAAGAGTGAGAGTTACAGGCAGGAGGAGTTAGTTGGCTCCAGATCTAGACTCTGGCAGGAATTTCCCTCCCTACCACAATTTATGCACTGGGGATGTGATGTTCCTCAGTGACTGACTCCGCTGGTATCTCCCTCCGCTCACACGCGCACACCCATCCCCTGGAGAAGCAACGTGGCTGATTTGCGCTTCAGTCTTCTGTGGTGATGGACAGTGCCTGGAAGATGTCTTCTTGTGGGGCATCGGTCGCCTCTTTGGAAGCCTTTCTTGCAAGGTTTGGTGCTAGCTGGGGCTGGCCAGCAATGTGGCCGTGGCAATGAGATTACTTGTCACTCACTTTGGCAGGCTCTTGAGAATTGCTCTGTCCCTCTGTGAGTGACCTAAAGGGGTTAACTTCTCACACACACACACCCCTTGAGAAAAGGCCTGGCCCAGTGCACAGGTCCGGTCAAGATGATGGATGGGGTGCGTTTGTTCTTGCTGATAAACCGTTACCACAAAGCCCTCCTGGTTCCGACCCCAAGCTGCAGTTTGGCACAAGGCCTAAGGTTTGCTTTTCCCACCGCACCGGCTGTCTCCGAGGCTTGTGCCTGCCTGAATCCCTTTTTCCCCAGTCCCTTCCAAACACCTTGGTGTAATTATAACACAAAGCCGAGGCCCCAGTTCCCTGGTGCCGAAATGTGGCCGTCCATGTGTGGGACGTGAGCTGCCATCTCTCCTGTTCCGTTCATCTCATTAATGCAGGGCTATATCACAGCAGCACCAGGCTTTAGAAGTGCGTTGATTAACAGACCTGTGATCTCTTTTGAAATCCCCGCTGGAGCTTCCTACCTGCTGGGCTTAATTTCTGAATCCACCACTGTCAGTTGTACAGAGACCCAAGCCAAGCTTGCTCCGCCCTGTTGTCTCTCACTGTGCGTCATCCCCTCCCGTCCCCTCCACCCATTGTACTAACCCTCATCACAGATGTACTGTGAGGGAGCATTTCTTCTCTCTGCCCTTTGCTCTGCAGTACTCTTGGTCGGACGAGTGACGTTGTGATCATCCTGGCCAATTCCATAGGATGGTAGATCTTCCAGCCATGGCACAAACTTTTAGTAGTCTGCTTGGAAGCTCTGTCCGCACTTGCAGAATATGCCAAAGGCTTCCTTTAGGGTCTTGGGGACATCGGGGAAGGAAAGGCCCCAGGATCAGAGCAGCGCCCCGGGATTCGCCGGCTCCTGCAGATGACCACTATCCGTTGTTGCCTCCCATTCTTCAGCACGGGTCCAGATTCTGCAGGTGCCCTTGGCGCTTCGTAGGCTGGCAAACCTACAGATCCCTGCCCCCAGGAACCTACGCCTGTCTAGACCTGGGGGAATGTTGCAGAAGTGGCTCCCCAGCGCTCATTCGCCTTTTCAAGGGCTGTGGCTGTCTCGGCCCCTGGTGCTCTCGCTCTCCGAGAGTAGCCACTGGTAGGCGTGTGCGCTGCCTTCTCACACCAGGCTGCCACAGATGCAGGGAGAGGGGGGACCAGCCGGAGGGACACACCGGGAAACGTATCTGGCATTGGTGTGTGCCCGGAGGGAGCCAGGGGACCGGTGGGTGGGAGCTTCCTCTGCAGGTTTTCCCCTCCTGCTCTTTTAAAATGCCCCGGACAAAGCTGCACAACAGGGCACCCACCCAGAATTCCCAAAGGGCTCGGTGATCGGCACACAGCTCCCAGTGAGGGTGCCACGGTGCGTCCCCGCAGCAGGGCTCTCAGCAGCACACGGCCCATTCACCGTGTCGGGCCTCTCTGCACACTTGGGCGCATCGGCCACCCCAGCCCTGCAAATACGCAATTGCGAGGTACTCGAAGTTCCGTTCATCCAATCAGGAAACTGAAACAGTGCCGTGTGACCTACGGCCGGGCGGAACTGTTCCCATTTCAAATAGCGACTGCTGGAGCCTCGCAGTGAAGTTTGTGAGACGATGTGGTTTTTCCATTGGACATGTGTCCAGTAGCTGCCAGTGAAGCTCATGGGAGCTGAGCCAGGCAATTCACACAAAAAATGGAGGGCCAAAGTCAACAAAGAGATTGCCCCATTCTGGCCCAGGGGAGGGTAGGAGCAGCAGGGATGACTGTAGGAGAACCTGGGATGCTTTGGTAACATACTCTTCTTGTCTCGTATATGGAATCTCGTGGTCCATATTTTCAAGCAAATGCATGCATAGCTGCCGGTTGAAGTTGCACATCCACCGACTGTTATTGTGTGTGCATTGTCGTGGTGCACATCTCTGACAGCGCAGGGCTTCTCTTCCCATCTGATGGCGCCAAGAGAGCCAGCGTTGAAAGGTTACTGGGGAGAGGGATGATCCTAATAAAGACCGCGGGCGCTACACAAAGATCAGTCTAAACTCCAAACAGTGTTTCTGCACGGAACTAGTACAAACACAGAGTTTGGAACCCAGTTGCCACTGGAAAATAAAGGAGCCAGACTCACGACAGTGATGCCTTTCAGGAGGGCAGTCGTGGTGTCTCAGTTCCCAGGGGGCTGAAGGGACACGGGCCTTTGGGCTCGGGCTTGGTGTCCTACTTGATAGGGTGCAGGGATGCAGAGCAGCTTCACGCACTCTGTGGGTGTGGGCTGCAAATTCTAATCCTGACCCTGCCACTGACTCAGAGGGTGACCTCGGTTATGTCACTTCTCTGCCTCAGTTTCCCCAGGACTAATATTGAGATGATGCCCTTGACCTGCCCCCATCAGAGTGCAATGTCTGAAGCTTTATGTATAGCTCCATGGATGGACGGTGCAACGAGTGTGTAAGGTATCATAAATACACATGGTGTGTGAGATGCGGGGGAGGGCGAGAGAGTCTCTGTAGCAGTTACGTGCTTTAATTAACCAAGCCAGGCTCCCTGGCTATTAGTTACGAGGCTGAGCTGGGGAGCCTGTGGCTGTCGCGGTCCCCGTGGTACCCGTGTGCCCGGCCAGACTCTGCCCACTTTAGTGGACTGGCAGAGCCACCTGCCCAGCTCACGCAGTACTAGAGGTGCCTTTCTGCTGTGGGGGGGTGATTCTGGTAGCCCCGGGAGAGCCGAGCCCTGCACTGGGCGTATGGTGAGGAGCAGCACAGAACCGCCGATGGGGGGCGGGTAGGAACATCCCAGTGAGTCACAGACGGCTGCATCAACCAGTCGGGGGCAGCACTGGTGACTCCAAGGGGGCCGTGTTCCCCTCTCCTCTCTGGAAGATGCATCTGCAGCTTTGGCCATTAGGCCGGAGAAGGCTGGTGGTTGGGAGACACAAATGGGAGCAGATTGGCAGACCTGGCATAAAGCCAGTGCCTCCAGGCCCCTGTCCCGAGTGTGCTCCATTCAGCCACTCATTATTTTGCCTGCATGGTGCCCACCGTCTGCCAGGAGCTTACAGGCTCTGGGGGCTGGCAGCCTAAGAAGTATCAGCCTTTCTCCATGGACTGGGAGGACCAGGGGACAAGCCAGCTTGGAAGTGGGGTGCACAGTAGTGGACAAGCTAGCAGGGATGGCTTGGCTTTCCCCCACCCCGGCCTCCTCTGATCCAGACAAGCTGCTGTGACGAGATGCCCTTGCTGCGGGATTGGGAGCTTGCTCCCAAGCCCGGGTGAAACCTGCCCAGCGAGCCGCCTGGCAGTGCCGTCTGTGTCCCTCACTGCCCAGCCTGGCTCACTGGCAGCTCAGCCACTCCTCCGCGGGGAGGCGGATTCCCAGCTTACAGAGACAACGCCATCTCCAGCAGGATGGGCTGAGGCGACAGCTGTGCCCTCAATGGATTTCCCTCCCAGCCCTGGCCCGACGCTGCGGGGGCTTGGCCAGGCCCCAGCTGAACTTGTAGCCCGACTATATCTTCAGAAGCTGGGAGGGGGCAGCGGGATCGTCCAGAACTTTAAGGTTCTTGCAAGAAATATTGGGACAAAGCGTCTTGGCTGTGTCTTTCTCTCTCTCTTTTTTAGCTCAGGCCCTGTTTATCTTTGCTGAATTAAATCCTTGATTAACCCTTATCTCTCCATTTCAGCGGCTATCTCTCCTTTGGCGCCGTATGTCCAGACACCCGGTACAGGATGATTGATTCCTTAAAGATATGCGCGGCTTTTCGGATACTTCATTTATTGTCTAAATATTTTTGCTCCCATTTCAGCAGCTCCCTTATCGAGCCGTGTTGATGATTTCCAGCCCTGCTTTTCTGTGCCGCTCGCCTCCCTTCCTATCTCTGCCCAGAGAACTGAGGAAGGAATCGCAGCTCCATCCCTGATAGCAACTATCGCCCTTCAGTCACTTTTCCTTTGTTGTTTTTGAGGAGGGGGGAGGAAGAACAAGGCATGGCCTCCCCGGAGCATCTGGTTACAGGCTGCCATCCTGCCCGGGGACAAGCCGCGGGGCCTGGCTTGTCCGTCGGGCTCTGATTGTGGTGCCCGACCTGCGGGAAGGCTGCTGGGATGACATCACCAAGGGGCG